GTCCCGGACTGAGAGACAGCAGGTGTGTATATCTAGATCAGACATGCATCATTATACTTGACACTACATTCCATTGCATTGCACATACTTATCATTAGTGAACTTGATATCGTGTTTTGCTAATCTTCTGATTGCCTTTCTGCGGAATTTGTGATTGATTAATATTGAGCTTGTTATTGCGGGTATATAATTTGTTGAAGTATTGTTGTTGAGGATATGTAAGTTGTTTAAGTGTTGTTGTTGATAATATGTAATTTGTCTAAGTGTTGTTGTTGACCTACGTGCTATGTAAACTTTGAGCTATTAGGTTGATTGATTTTACTGCAGGTTGTAGTTGTGGAGGTTCGGTTGGGGGTGGTAGGAGTACTCATATTTCAACCCCTTAACTTGTGTTTAGAGGTTTACTTGCTTAGTACCGTGTGGTTTGGTACTCACCCCTTGCTTCTACAAATTTTTGTAGGTTATGAGCTCGGATTTTTATTGTACTTGTCATTCTCTTCTTTTCTGAGGCTTCTTGAAGATTTGTGAGGTAGCTGTTTCCATCTAAGCAGACTTTTTTCTCCATAATTATGATCTTGTTCTATTCTAGAAACAAGTTCATTTGAGACTTGAGTTTTTTTTTCTTTTGAATCAATTGTAATACTTTAAAGGCTTGTACACGTGACTACCAGTTTTTGAGGGTTTTATTAAGTTGCTTGTTCTTTATTTCCGCACTTTATTGTAATGGTTGAGTTTTAGGCTGACTTATCGTGGTGGCATAAGAAGAGTGCCATCACGTCCATTTTTGGGTCGTGACAAAATGCTATCAGAGCCCCTGGTTCATAGGTCTCGCGTATGTACAAGCCGAGTCTAAGTAGTGTCTTAAAGAACTGTACGGAGACGTCTGTACTTATCTTCGAGAGACTATAGTGACTTTTTAGAAAAATCGTCACTTCTCGAATCCTTATCGTGCGTTATTCGTCTGTCTTAATCTGTACTCTCACTTATAGTGATGGCTCATGTGTGGTTCCTAATATGAGTAATTGACGTCGTGTATGGTTTAAATGTTTGCTCTTGTGTTAAGGGGGAAGTATTACTTACGAAAAGGATGCATAGTTAGATTTAGAATATTTAAAAATTTAAAGAGATTGATTAAGGTTAGTTACCCTAGTAAAATGAATAGTACTTAGGTGTTATATACAATATGTGGAATGATATGACTATTATTGAAAGTGAAATGATTAAAGGGTTGGCTAGATAATGAACAATGTTGCTTGGAAAGTTAAGTTGGTATAGTTTTAATGACATATACGGATTCCCTAGCGAATGATATTGCGCCAATCGAAGTTGAAATCTTTCGTAGATTGAGTATTTAAAAAAAAGGTCATAATACGACTTCTATAATGGTATACCTATTCCTATTTGGTAATGGTTATGAAGTGTGTTATTTTTTTTATTGAGCCGATATACGAAAAGATACAGATAGCTTGGGCTAGATACATAATATATTTGGTGATATTTTACGATTTTTTTGAATTTCAATGTGATCTTCTCGGTAGGTATGATGTGTTCTAGTGGTGGATGTAACGAATTTTTACGATGCGGTACTAGTGGCATATGAAAATGAATATGTTCATTGTTAAGTTCAAATAATAACTACTTAAGGAATTATCTATTCTATTACAAGCTCATATAATAAAATTTGGTGTTGAATTAATTTTTTTTTAAAAAATGATCTAGCTTGTTAGTACGGATGAATTGGTTAAGCATTATTTATAAGGAAGCCTTTAGTGGTGGATTTTTGGTACAGTATTGATGTGTTTAAATTGAGAAGCATATTCCCAGGGTTCTAAACAAAGGATTGATGATTCCATCTTAAGGTCCTAGGGAATGTATAGATACAAGAAGGACAAACTTATGGGTAAAGAAAGTCTTAAAGAGTAAACTTGTGTGAATATAGTTGAAGATTTTTGTAAGAAAAACATATAAGATTGAGTTAGTCCTTTTGATATTGGTTGGTAAAACTGGATTTAAGGTGTCATATTTATAAAAAGATGTACTTTGTGATGATGACAACACCTAGATGAGCATGATGGTAATAAGAGTTCGTGATAGATTTTGATGGAGATGAAAATATGTAATAAGGCTTGTTGGTTAAACGAATATTATATTGTAATGATGACTTGTGAGTATTTAAGCCTGAAGTTTGATACTATTGGATGAGTAGCTTGATTGCAAGGAAAATTGTTGGAGGTGTTGAAAACACCGCTCGAATAGAATCTAAAGGAGCTACAAGCATAATGAAAAAAAAAATAAATTAGTGGAATATAATATATTCGGAAAGAGGTGAGAGTAAGAATTTTTTCAAAGGAGTTAAAAATTGGATTTAGAGATACCTAACTTCACCCATTTTTTTCTATGATTATGGTAATATATAATGTCACATGATCATCAGATTGGTTAAAAACTAATGGATAAAACATGAGAAAAGATTATGAATGTTCAATTCCAGTTCTTTATAAGTTTTTATTTGGTGGTTTTGAGCTTTGAAATGAGTGCAGTTGAATTTTATAGCAAAAGATATGATCAGGTCTATGGAGAGACGACCAATGATAAGCTAACATATGTCGATTCATAAAAATCATCAATGTATGAACTAATGTTATTAGATAAAGGAATTGTGTTACATAGATGAATTCAAATTAAAGTTTTTCATGGTGAGCTTAGGTCTCTGGTAGTGTTTTTTTTTTCAATATATGAATTCGTAAAGTATGACAGGATCGATTATATTAAGTTTAAAGCATTTGGAAGGACATAAAATTGAGTAGTAAAGTTGGTTACTTTTGATTGTTATACCTAAGGGGGATTTCACATAATGTTTTGGTTTAGAATATAAGTTAAAAAAAATATATCATGGATTGTTGGTCAAATGATAAGAATGGTAAGCGGGTAAACCAAATGAATAAGAGTTTGATGTATTAGAGAGTTCAAGATATTAAGAATTGTGCGTCATGGGAAGAATATAAGAAAAGTGAAGGATTAAAACCTCTCATATAAACCCCTGATTTGTAGTTGAAAGATTTATTGAATTTTTGCTTATTAGTTTAGATATGATTGTGAGACCTGAATTAGTTTGGCACGGACTTAATAGGAACTTATCTTCAACTTTCCTAAACATTGTGTTTTGATTGGGTGACAAGAAACTATGTGTGAAATATTTTATATATGTGGTCATCTCGAGCTAATGGTTCAAATTATCATAGATAACTTATAATTTTCAAAGTTGTGGACCTACATTTTACATAATTAATGAGGATTCAAGAGGAGCAAAACTACTTTGTTGATGGACGATACTGATTGTTATGATATGTTATATAGGCATTTGATATTGAGTAGAGGTTATGAGCTTATGGTAATCGTATTTTTGGAGTGACCATGAATTTCATAAGTGTAGGTATTCAAATTAATGGAGTGACTATGAATTTCATTATGTTTTGAACATTAGTGGAAATTTGATATTCGAAAAGTACGTAAAATTGACATTGTGTGTGATTCAATATTGTTATCTCGATGGAAAAGTATTTTTCCAGATAGGAAATTAGTGTTATCAGTCTTGAGTGTGACCCATATTTGTCATAACATGCTTATTTAGAAAGAGAAAGTGTCATAGTTTTGTAATTCTTTAAGCGATAATGTGTCTACAAAGAAGACGTTAGATCTAGTGAAGATTTGACAGTAAAGTAAATGACTGTTGGGACGATGATATTCTGTTATTATTAAGAATATTGTTATTAGTGGAGTACTGTGAGAAATATTTGAGGTTTTATGAATTGAGTATTTGTACAATTATAATGGGGACTACACTGGTAAATTATGGGTGATCAAAAATTAAGGAGAGGGAGATAGATGAATTAAAATATTTGATTTGGGCATTATGGAAGGAGTATCTTGTGTTATTCGAATTAACTTCCATACGTTATTATGTTACCACCTACTTCGTTCTAGACATGATTTAGAGTATAATTTACTACCTATGTCACACGTGCTTTTAGTTCAGTAGGTGAAATCCTAGTTGTGGATCGGATATACCAATATTGTGATGTCCTTTTGATGTGTAGAATGCTTAGGTAGATTTTGGTGAGTTTGGTTATGGAATATTTGATGTTGTCTGGAAAAGTATACATATACCACTATATATATAAATGTACGACCTCGCTTATAAGAACGTATAGAAGAGCTTCCATGAATAGTTATAGCTATTTGATTGTGTTCTTAAAGGTTTTGCATCCTAGAGTGTACCACTTGTTGAGTGTTACTAGATCTTGTTTTTCTTTGGATTATATATGTTTGATTCTCCCTTGATAGGTACCGACGTCTAAACATTAAAATTTTATAACTTAAATTTGAGGAAAGATTGTGTTGTTAAAAGAAAATCTTGATAAGATCTGTGATGGTTGGTTAAAATTCACTTTTGATTATAGCCGGTCTCTATTCAGAATGCTATCTTTGTTATGCGAGAAAAGACATATCACGATGGATGCGATATGGTCTAATCGGTTTCACTTTAGGTTGAGTTCATGGGTTACTATGTGGCTTAATAATCACTCTTTATTAGTGGATATGCCAATGTTTGAATCGAAAAATTCAATTCTTAGTAGTTGATCTTGATTGAATGGTATTAAGATGGAATTCACTTTGAGAGATGAACAACTATTAGTAGGCCATGACTTAGAACTTTTGATAATGTGGTTATTCATTCTTCTTCTCCTTATGTTGGGGACGAACATGGTTTTTAGTGGTGTATAATGTAATGACCTAGAAAAATTATTTTTGAAAATATTTGAGCTATTTTTTGATTTTAATTATTTAGTTAATGGTTAATTTTAAATAATTATTAATTTTTGATTGATGGCTTATTGGCTAAGTCCATAATTTATTTTAAGACCCTATACTATTTGGCCCATATAAATAAAAATAACATAATAGAATTTGTCACTTCCAATACCTAATTAATTTAGAAAAAAAAATATAAGAGATAAAAGAATAACGAGAAGAAGAATTCTTGCGGCTGATGAAAAACAAAATGGAAAACCTCGATGAAATCAAGTAAGTGTTATTCGATCTAATTAGTGTAATTTGTTTGTGTGTTGTTGTTTGAATGTTTAAGAAAAGAGGCAAAAGAGTTGTCATTCGTATTGTTGGGCGTTGATCAGAAAGCAAAAGGGAATTGAATTGGGGATAAGTGTTAAAAGGTGAGTTATTTAAATAATATAATATAGTTTTTAGTGGTATAATGTAATGTATTATTTATTTAGCCAATTATCATGTGGCATGGATGAGTGGTAACGAAAAATTCCGATCAACTAGCTTTCTGTCACTACTTGGGTTTGTCTCATTTCGTAATTATTTTTACTATAACATGATAATTCTATGTTTTGATATAATGAGATAGTTAATTAATTATTAAGTCTATTTTGTTATATGAAAATTGTTAGGATGGTATTATTTAGAGAAATGGAAATTTAACCTAGGCTTGAAACATAGAAAATATGATAATTGAAATGTTAATTGGCATAAAAATTGGGAGTTTGATTATAAATTCGGTTAAGTTTTGGGTCTAAGCTATACCTATAGTAATATGAGTGTGGTTAGTTCAAAATCTTATTGTGATTATTAATGTGAATAGATTGCTTTGAGTTTCGAATTCAGAAAACAAGGATGGCTCTAGTTTCGGAGTGAATTCTTGACTGATTGAGGCAAGTGCATTTCTAAACTCTGGTTAAGTGTATGAAATGCGTGTATTTTCTTGTGGTATATGTTTGAGAGTAATGGGATTGGTTATGGGTTAACTTGTCCACGTTGATTTATTGTAATGATGAAAAAAATCGATAACAAAAGGAAATGTAATTAATTGTTGATGTGTAATGTGTTGAGAAAGGGTTGAAGGCTTGTTGAATCATTGTTGATGTGACTTCATGTTTGTGTGGTTGTGAATTGTGCGTTGTTATGAAAATGATTATCTCCTCATTATTTGTGTGAATTTGTCATCTGCATTATTCTGAGGCATTGGTTGTGACAAGTGTTATGTGCATTGAGAAAGAATGAAAACTTAAGAGGATGTACCATTTCGAGGGACGTATCGCACGCCGCGATGGATACTGTATTACGAGGGACTTATCCCGCGCCGCAATGGTTACTATTATCGAGGGTCATGTCGTGCGCCGCGACAGATGCATGGACAGATATGTCCCCCATGGGTCCCGGACTGGGAGACAGCGGGTTTGTATCACTAGGTCAGACATGCATCATTATACTTTAAACTACATTCCATTGCATTGCACATACTTATCATTAGTGAACTTGATATCGTGTTTTGCTGATCTTCTGATTGCCTTTTTGCGAAACTTGTGATTGATCAATATTGAGCTTGTTATTGCGGATATATAATTTAGTGAAGTATTGTTGTTGAGGATATGTAATTTGTTAAAGTGTTGTTGTTGATGATATGTAATCTGTCTAAGTGTTGCTGTTGAGCTACGTGCTATGTAAACTGTGAGCTGTTAGGTTGGGTTGATTTTACTACAGGTTGTAGGTTTGGAGGTTCGATTGAGGGTGGTAGAAGTACTCATATTTCATCCCCTTAGCTTGTGTTTAGAGGTTTACTTGCTTAGTACCGTGTGGTTTGGTACTCACCCCTTGCTTCTATAATTTTTTATAGGTTATGAGCCTGGATTTTTATTTTACTTGTCATTATCTTCTTTTCCGAGGCTTCTTGGAGATTTGTGAGGTAGTTTTTTCCATCTCAGCAGACTTTCTTCTCCATAATTATGATCTTGTTCTATTCTAGGAAGAAGTTCATTTGAAACTAGAGTTTTTTTCTTTTGAATCAATTGTAATACTTTAGAGGCTTGTACACATGACTATAAGGTTTTGGGGTTTTTGTTAAGTTACTTATATTTTATTTCCGCAATTTATTGTAATGGTTCAGTTTTAGGCTGGCTTGTCTTGGTGGGATAAGACGAGTTCCATCATGTCCATTTTTGGGTCGTGACACTTATATATCTCATCAAATTTTATTTATAATTTACTTATGAAAGCGAAAATGTCCAACATAAGAATATTAATCTTTTTGATTCTATGTTTATGATTTTGAGCGATAACCAATTCAAACCGCTCTGTGAACACCCCTAATAATAGTAATACTAATGTGAAATAAGGGTAGAAGATTGGCTATGAAAAATCTAACATTTAGATTAACAAGGTTGGCAAATAAAAGCAAGGTCCATGAATACTTTAATGGGTTAATCCATAATTTATATATCGTGTAATTTTTAGGTAAAATAATTTTTGTATATATAATTTAATTGGTTGATATATTCTCCTTATTTTTATTATAGATGGTTGATTATAATAATCGAGATAGCAGTCAAACATTGGGACAACTAAGCTGTTTAGCTTCATATGCTGCACTCTTAGTAGTAATATTGTTTCAGACTTATGCATGTAAAATCGAAAAAGATCAGCGTATGATCACACACGATATAAGGATTGAGAGACAGAGGAAGTTAGAAATGAATTACTAAGTCATCTATTTTCAATTGAACTTTGTCGTAGTATTTTAAGAATGACCCCTTCAGCATTTACTGGTCTGTGTGAGATGCTAATTAGAGAAGGAGGTCTTAGACCAACACTTCGAGCGACAATTGAGGAGAAAGTTACAAAAACACTTTACTTGATAGCATATAATATCACAAATCCTAAGTTGTCTTTCATCTTTCGACGATCTGGAGAGTCAATCTGCCGTCATTTTTATGTTTTCCTACGAGCTTTGTTGGAATTATATGAAAAATTTATTCAACAATCTGATGGCCCTCAAGTTACTTTTGAAATCGCTAGCAAGCAAACATTCTACACACATTTTAAGGTGAACATAATTAATTATTTAGCTTATGCAAAAATTGTTTGTGTTTTAATCGATGATTAATATATAAAGATTGTATTGGTGCAATTGAAGGAACACACATAAGTGTTAAAGTTTCACAAAGTGAAGCACCAAAATATCGTGGGAGAAAAGATTATCCAACACAATATATGCTAGCTCCACGCACATTTGATTTAAAATTCACATATGTTTTAGCTACATGTAATGAACAATAATTAAATCATTATTTAATTATGTTTACAAAAATTCTACCTTGTTGATGATTGACTCATGTTGAATAGTGTACTTATTATGCCTTATAGGGAAGAACGATATCACTTGAAAGAGTATTCAATAAATCCACCTCGAAATTCTCGTGAATTATTTAATTTGCGACACGCTTCTTTGCGTAACTCTATTGCACGTGCATTTGTAGTTTTAAAAAAGAGATTTCCTATATTTTCTAGCTCAACAGAGTCATCATATGGTATTGAAACTCAAAAGCTTATCATATTTACCTGTTGTATTTTGCAGAACTATTTAAGAGAAGAAATCCAAATGATGATTTACTTGCTCAAGTTGATGCGGAACTTATGAATAATAATGATGTACATGAAGATGTTACAAATCCTAGAGAGAGCAATGAAGAACTTAGAAGAGGATAGTAAATTCGAGATAGCATATAAGCTGCCATGTGGAATAAATATCAAGACTTATTTTCGAGGAGAAACATACAAATAAATTTTTGTATCACTTTTATTTATTTGATGTTATTTGAAGTGATTTTGTGAACTAATATTTTACTTATAAAGATAATGTGTTGTGCATTTGACTTTATATTAATACTCTTCAATGTTGTTGATGATTTATTTAAATTTAATTCTTATGAATATTTATTTTAATTTTTTAGTTATCAAGATGGCGAAAAAATTAAAGTCGTTTACTTCAACTGATACAAAAGTATCTGATAATTCTCTTTGTATTTGGTCACATACTATGGAGGATGCACTAATTGATGCATTTTGTCAGGAGCAAGAACTTGGAAATAGGGTTGGTGGATCTTTCACTACACACGCACTGAATAACATATTTAGGGAGTTACGATCAAAATTTCAAAATAAAATTCTTAATAAGGTGAGAATTCACAATCAGATGAGAAACATTAAAAAACAATTTATCAAATATTATGATACATTTCAAATGGAAATGAGCGGATTTGCATGGGATCGAATTACAAATATCTTGAATGCTGAGCCCGAAGCATGGGATCAATTAATTCAGGTATATTCATGTTTGTTAATTTTTCTCTTATTTTTATATTTTAATGTTCATCTTATTTTCTTCAACAATGTGTTGTACTTTTCATATGTATGCTAATCCCGAAGCTGCTGATTTGAGGACCAACTGTATCAGAAATTATGATAAACTAATGATGCTATATGGAAAGGATAGAGCTAGTGGAAAGCATGCTGAGACAGGACCAGATATGTTAAATAGAGTTACTAATATAAATTTGAAAAGATCAAATACTAGTTCTTTTACTATTGAAGAGGTTGACGAAATGATTTCTATGAATGATGCATCATTGGAATATGAAGGAGAGAAACAGGATGAGCAAGTCAACTTATTAATGATGCACCTAAATAAGACGTCTCTTCAAAGGTACAAACTCATCAAAGAAATTGAAAATCTAAACATAATCATTTTGAAGACATAGCTGATATGATAAGGGGTGGTATGGATAATCTGGCTTATACCATTAATCGACTATAAACTATGCCACCTATTTCTGAAAGCGAGATGTGGCAAATGATAAAAGAGATGAATTTGGAATCTCATATGAACTCAAAAGCTTATATATGTATTTGTCAAGATGCAAATATGTGTCGCACATTGATGGGATGTCCACAGGAAAAACGCAAGTCTCTTTATTGACTATTATGATAGCACACAATTAAGTTTAGATTTATATATTGGATTTTAAGTATTTTTGATTTTATAAACATATGAATATTTTAGTTTTGACAATTATTTTACTATGCATTTTAAGGTATTGAGAATTTGAATGATTTGTTTTGTTATGAAGATTTATAGCATATAATATCGATATCATTATCAGTATAATCTAAGTTATAAAATAAAGTGATATACATATTATACATCTACATTGTTGTAAGGTTATATGGATAGTTGATTTAACAATTTGTGAACGAATTAAAATTTATTGTTAATGATTTAGAGTTACAATTGGTGGACGAATAAATAGATTAATTATTTCATTTTCACAAAGCAATATTTTTCATCTTCGACTCATTTTTCAACATTTCATAATTAATGTGGTATGTGATGATTTTTAGAATTGAATATAATATTTTTAATTTTAAATAGTTCTAATTAAATCAATGTAGATACAAACGTGATAGTAATGATTGATGATATAATTTTATGTTATTTTCATATGACATAAAAGGATATGCATGATTGATGGATAGTTTTGTTATTTTATTAATAATTACTGATAAATTTAGTATTTAAAATAGTTAAGAACCTTTTGGTAAATTTTTAAATTACAATATAGTACAATACAATCAAACCAAATCATGTAAATGTTATTAAACACCAGCAAACAATACAGTCCAACCAATCATTTTATCTACCAAACAGTACAATACAGTACATTATGAAACAATGAGTAAAAATGATCCAAACAGAGTGTAAGTTTTTCATAGATCATTTTAACATTTTGAATTATCAATTATTCTGTCTTATAGTTCTATTTACATGATTTACAAATATATAAATTTATTTAAAGAATTTGAGGATTGGATAAGTAGATGTTCGGTCAAAGTCAAAATGTTTGGCTCTTGGAAAAAGTGTCACATAAAATTAGACAGAGGGAGTAATATTTTCCATCTAAAAAATGTATATTTTTTATGAAAAATATATTGAGTTGCGTTGCAGTCATTATTTTCAAATTATTTTGAAGTTGAGTAACTCCTAATGCTATAAAGAAGGCTAAGCAAAATCGAGGAGGAGGAGAAGGTTTAATAATTTTTGTATTATGATTTTCTTGGTGTGAAAATAGATTTCTTTTAAGGTATTTTTATCTTTTAGGAAATTATCCTCACCTTTGATATATAGATTAAGTAGGTGAACATAAGATTTTTACCTAGCACCCTGGTATGAATGATTTAAGGTATAATGATTGTAATGGTATTTATGTTTTTATAGATATATATTCTTCAAGAGACTCTACTTCTTTTTATGTTTCTTCATGTTCGGATTTATAATTTTTCGGTTCCTAATTAGGTGGTTATTTATTTGTAATTGCATCAACTTCTAAGGTGTGGAGTTTCTGTTTAATTTTTTTTATTTCATTTATATTTGTAATAATTCTACCTTATTATTTTGAACGGTTATTTCGGATTTAATTGATTTTTTAAATTTATTCAGAACAATTGTCATATCTAAGGGTTTAATAATTTTACTATCATATTGTTTACCAAGGAATAAATTTCTGAAGGCAATAAAGTATTTTTTCCAAAAATTAGGATCTTCAATATGATATATCATATCAAAGAATGTTTCATTATTACTACTAATGATGACATTTAAAGCATGATTTTTGCAGGTGCAAGTTGCACTACCACATTCACAAGCGTCTGGTGACTTACTATCTTCAAAACTGTAGTCTATATGTAGCGGATCGTCCCTGCTAAGATTTTTATGAGAGGAGGAGTTGTTATCTTCTAGAGTGAAATATAATTTATTTATAACTTCTTCTTTCAGCATATTAATTTTGTATTTCTTTTTATTAGTGGTTGGGCAGTCTTTGGCTCCATGTCCTTTTTTTCCACAGGCCCAACATCTTTTAGTGTTGTTTTGTTTACATCTATTTTTACCAGGGTTCTAGTTATATTTTTTAAATCTCCTTTTGTATGACGGGGTTTAGTTGATTGTTTATTCTTATGGTTAAATTTTTAGAAGCCTCTTTTAATGGGGGAGATAGTTTAATATAATCAAAGTCTTGACAAAAGTTTGTGTGTTCATTTTGTGATATTTTACTATCCCTTTTTAGTTGCTTCTTAAGATATATATTTGTAAATAATTCTAATCTAGTAATATTTATAACACTTATGAGGTCATCATAGGTTAATTGATTTTAAGGAACCTTTCCTTCAAACCGATCATTTAGTTTTATTCTAACCTTTTCAGCAAATAGCTTGGATAGACCACTAATAAATTTTTCTTTCCTATAATCGTGATTGCACCCTTTCCTAATCATAACTTTGTTTATAAAACCATCTTTATGTAATCTAAAATTTTTAAACTTTGGGCAAGATATATTAGATAGTATCTCTAGACTTCTATCTTGGAAATGTTGAGATTGTCCAATAAAATATTTAGTTATGTTATAAATTAAGGTGGCGGTGGCATCTTCAAGGACTTTATTCTCTATGGTTTTCCCTGAAGATTCATCCATAATAATTGGGTTAAGACTTGTAGCATTTAATATACTTTGGCTATTATATTTTATTAGATAATTATCCCACCAATTTTTAATGTTCCGATAAATCCAACTGTAATTAAACTAGAAGATTGTTTATTTGATAAATTTTTCATTTTATATTCGTAATGATCATTCCCATTTCATGTAATTTATCATAAATTTGATGTTCCGCTAGTCCGTCAATATTCCATTCCTCTTTTTCTCTTTTCTAGTGCAATGTATGAGATAGAAACTCTTTTTCTTCGTATTACATATCTCGAATAAAGAGTGTTTGTTATAATAAGTTTTTTAGAAGAATAATAAGAACTTACTTTATTGATATATTTATCATCATTTTTGTACAAGGTATTAATTTATGTAGTTTTTAGTTTTTTTTATTTGTTTCTATGAGATCATATGTGATTTCAAACTTTTCTTTAAGCCTAGGGAATTTTTCGTTAGAAAATACTAGTAGTTAAAATATTGTACGAGTTTCTAGTTTTTTATTTTTCTCACTCTAAAAAGGACTTGGTTCATCCTTAAAAATTCAGTTAGTATCGGCTTCAATTTTTTTCTCTTAGAGATTATATAATATAATTGATTTGTATAATTATTTTGTTGCAGAATTCTTTTTATATATATTTATTGGGATCTCCTTTAATATTGACTATATCTGTTTTAAATGGTGAGGCAATAATAATTCTATTATCTACGAGTAGACTAATTTCTTCTAAAGGTGAAATTTTAGACTCAACTACGTCATTATTAGTAGTGTACCATATAGTAACCAGCATTTAACGACTTTATTTGATCGTCTATACTCCTGTGCATTCAAACCACTTAAAAAACTCTGCATTACATTTTTCTCTTTTCATATCACTAAACCATTTATTTCTAAAGGTTAATCTTTCTAATAGAGAATATCTTTGTGTATACAATTGGTTTTAATAGAATTCTCTGAACTAGTCTAAAATTTATTTAGATATTTAACATCTATTTCAAAAGGTTTATCTAATCTAATCATGCATAAATAATACTTTATTTCTTGAAATTTTCTAGTAGTGGGACTTGTGGATTTTATGGGTTTAAAATTCCTATGTTACATTTTTGAAATAGTTCTCGGTCTTAAGGTTGGTTTAGTTGGTCAAATTTTAGTTTTTTCCTTTTAAATTTCTTGCTCTTTTACGCAGTCAAAATGTCAATAATCTTTAATTAAAACGTCATCTCAATTTTTTATCCTTGGGACATAGGTGTTGTTAAGATATGCATCCATAAGTATGATAAATCCTTCATTAGTTACCATTTTAGCCTTAGGAGCGGAGGTAATTTTCATTAATTTATAATACAT